CCCCACGGCCCTGCGGGGGTCCTGTCAGTTCCACGGGGCAGGAAGCCCTGGCCTGGGTGGCGACATCTGCCATGGCTCCCTCCATCATCTCAGCCCCTGTCCTAACGCCTGCCTCCTGGGTTCATCCTGGTGTTCTGCCCTGCAGTCTCTGGTGACAGGGGCTGTGCACCAGGGATGGGGACAGTGCTTCTGGAAGTGTGGCCAGGAGGTGGGTCCAGGGACGGGCTGAGGAAGGGAGCTGGGCAGGCATGGGGACCCTGAGACCAGTGTGGATTCCTCAATGCCCATGCCAGACGCCCTAAGGCTCAGTGGTGATTTAAACTGTAGAAAGTCAGACACACATTTGTAGGTCACCCGGACCCGTGGCTTTTAAAGGATTTGACTCTAACAGCATCAGAATCCTTTATTTAAAATAAAATAAAAAAAGAACAAATAAAAAGGCAGCACAAACACCAGCCGAGTTGCCCAGGCTGAGATTTGGGGGCAGAGCAGGGTATGAGCCGCTTCCTTGCAGCTGGGCAGGCAAGACCCCGGGGCTCTGAAAACCACGCAGACACACACCCGGCAACCCTGGGCGCCACACTGGGAGGAGTCCCTGTCCCTGGCTCTCTCCTCCAAGGCACCCGCTTTGTTCTGCGTAAACACCACACTCCAGGTGTTCTGTGACTCGATTTCAAAACCCAGGCATAAGCAACAGGCAGTGAAGCCCACAAGTCTGAAGTGAAGGCTTGATCTCCACTCGGCACTTACCATGTGGCCACTAATTCCAGAGGGGGCCACTGTGGCCCCAAGTGAGGTGCCAGCCCCTCTGCCTGCCCGCCTCCTGCGCCCTCTTCAGCCCCATCTGGCTTGCACCTTTTTGTGTCCAGCTTCGTTGTCTCAAAGTAACATTTCTGAGACTTATCCACACTGTGTATGCGACAGGGCTGGGTTCTGGCTATAACTGTTCCTTACCACAGAGCAGAATTCTGTCTCCAGCCTGGTCCCTCCTGGCCCCTTCTGCCGTGGATGGCACTGGCCACTTCCAGTGAGGGGCAGAGGAAGTCAGATGCTGTGTCCAGGAGGGCGAGTCTTCTGTGGCTGCAGCTGGACTTGCTGTCCTGTGTCTATGAAAGGCGGGTGTCTGTCTCCACGCTGGGTGCAGCACCCAGAGCTCATGGCTGTAGAAAGTCATGAGCTTTCTTAACCCTTAACCCTTCTCTCTGATAAACACCTAAAGACATGTCTGTGCACAACGCAAGGGTTGGGTGGCAGATTCCTAGGAGAGCTGGCTGTGGAAGGTAGTTGCATTTATAATGCCCCAGTCGCCACCTTCAGGGCCCACACCTTCCGAGTGCAGTGAGCACAGGCAGCCAGTGCACCAAGGACCTGCCCAGGCCCACACTGCTTGCATCCCCGCCCAGGTCCTGTGTGCCAGTGACTACCATTGTCAAGTTTTCAGATCATCCATCTTCTGTGTTTCTTAGCAGCTGTACATTTATTTCTAGGTGGCTGCTGCCTTCACACTGATTCGTGGGGGCTCCACCACTGTCCTGTGAGGGAGATTGCTGCTCCCGAAGGCCGGCCCTGCCCCAGACTCAGCACAGCGGCTGCTGGGTGCCAGCATTTTGTTCTGTCTGCCACTTTCCCTTCCATGCCTGCTCTGCTTAGGATACCCTCCCCAAAGAGACCCAGTTCGACAGCAACACAGGTATCTATGGCTGCCGTGGCGCTACGTTCGGTGTGTGGCAGAGGACTAAACAGTGTTTTTGAACAGATACTGAAATGACCCCGCATCTTTCACTGAATAATCTGCCCATGCCCATTAATTTAAATACCACTGTTACTTATGCAAAGCAGAACCAGACCAGCCTCCTCCCAGGCCGTTCCCGCCAGCCTGCAGTCCTGTGCCCCATCATGTTCCCATCTTTCCTGTGTCCTTCTGTTTCCGACGACTGTACCTGACCTCCACCCCAGGCACACGCATCTCCATGTGAGGGTGCACAAGCAGAGCGGGATGGGGTGGGGAGGGTGACTACAGGGAGTGGAGGGGAGCGGTCTGGAGCCTTTGGCAGGGGAGAGGGTGTGAGCAGCTGGCTTCTGAACAGGCTCCATGCTTGTGTGCATCTGCAGCCAGCCTGCACGGCCCTCAGCCTCTCTGGGATTGCCCCAAGCCACCCCTACCCCCCACCAGGCCTCTCCCCAGCCAGGTCCTCTCCTCCCCTAAGGCCGTCTGTTGCTGGTTCCTGCCCCAGAGACACAGATCCTTCATTTCTCCTGAGCCACTAGAGGCCCCACGGCCTCTGCCACAACTCCCCTCCCAACCAGCCTCTGTCCTGGGTTCCTGCTAACCTTGACCATGAATGAGCAGGACCACATTTTCTCCACAGCCCCTTCTCCTCTGACTTCCCATGAGTTTCTCTTTTGCTCGGCACTGGGGTAGAGGGGCAGGCCCTGTGTCATTTCTATGCAGTAAGAACCCTGGCCTATGCACCTGGCCAAGTGCACAAGATTCCTGTTGCTAGGCCACAGGTCTGTCCGGTTCGTATCTGAGCTGATGGCTCACTGGACAGCACAGGCTGCTCCCCTGGCCCTGGGTGCAAGGTATGGACACTTAGCTGGGCGCCGCCTTGGTGCTCCCGATGTAGCTGGTCTGGTGGGGAGGAAAGCTGAAAACTTGCAGGTCCAGAAGGTTCTCAGGTGATGACAAGGGGGGTCCAGGGGTCACACATGTAGAGCCACTGACATCCTATTTTACTGAAACACAGTGGCCCATCTTGGAGAAGGAAGTGCACTGCTGTTCTGCTGGCTGCAGCGCGGTGGGACAGGCCGAGCCTGCTGGCTCTGCCCTCGGATGGTCCTGTCCACGCGGGGGTCCTGGAGACCCTGTCACAGCATCTGGCCTGTGGCCGAGTCCCTTCAGTTGCCTCAGCTGTGGTGAAAATGTCTCTTTGGGAAGCTCCAGATGTGGGGGGGGAGGGGCGTATGCTCCGAGCCTACCTGAGGCCTCTGCAGGACAGTCGCCTGCCCTGCCAGGGTCCTAGCCATGCACTGGACCCAGCTTTCTGAGCAGAGCCCACAGCTCCTGGTGACAACACACGTCCCACACATGGAGCAGGTGTGTGGTGTCTGTGGGGCCTTGAAGAAGACCACCCCCAAGCCCAGTTCCACCGAGTGGCCCTTTCTGTTCCCAAATGACTCAAGACCCAGAGCAACGAGGCCAGTGTGAGGGAGAGCGTCAGCCCCTGGCCAGTGCTGTACGAGACACTCAGTGGTGGACGGGACGGGGCATGGAGGTTCTTCTGGGAAGTACAAAGGGGACATCACCTTGTCGCTTCTGCATCGTTATATTTTGTGATCTCTGCGGAAACAGCGATACCTTCCACTGACAAAAGCGAGGGAAAACCAGCATCTGGAGCCCTGGCGGGCAGTACAGGAGACAGCAGCTCGCACCCTCCCCTCAAGGCAGCTGGGGTGCGTTATGATTTTGTGATCTTATTAACACGAGCCTACAGGGTCGTTACTGCAGCATCTCCCTGTCTTGCGGCCACATTAGATGACTAATTGCTCACATTAAACCAAGTTTTGGGACATATATTAGGTGAAGCAGAAAAATGTAGACAATATTTAAAACTGCATCAAAATAAGTAGGATCTTCCCCAAGTGTAAAGAAGCATTTATAATCATAAATATGAAAACCATTGAATTCTTCTACCCTATCTTAATGAAGTGACAGAAAAATTCCCTTTCCTCAAGACTGGCGGTGGGTAAGAAGCAGTCCTTTAGGAACGCTGCACGGGATAGATTCATCTGAGGGCTGTAGGTGGGAGGAACCCGGTATTACCCTAAATGCGGAATGTTTTCAAAAGGCATTACTTTCAAGAAGAGAAAAGCTTCTTTTTGTTATCAAGGGCTCAACTGCTATTCCATACAACTAAAATGCAGAATAATTTAAAATCTAAGTGTTTATATTTATTTCTACGAACCTGGTCATAGATCACTTGCCTGGAAAGCCAGCTAAAACACACATTTAAAATATTTATCTCTGAAAGGAAAAAACCATTTCCCTGATAGGACACACTAAAATGAAATTCTATTATGACTCTGGCTCTGGCAAGCTATTTCTGGGAACACTTTCCTGTCTAAACGGCAGTGATGGTCGGCACACCACACAGACACGGCAAACTCTCGGTACTGGGCTCACAACGGCCGAAATACATATACCACAGCATCCTGAGTAAGGGACACTTTAGTTCATCTGCAGAATAGGCAAAAATTAGAAACTTTGTTGTGATGTATGAACCGCAAAACTCACAATCGTTTTCTGAACATTTTAAAGTATTACGCCTTCCACGATGGCTTGATCACACAGGAACCCTGCTCTGGGGCCTTCCCTATGTTAGGAGCATCACATTCTTCCCCAGTGTAAGCACCATGCTGCAGAGGGCATGCTCTCCGTCCATCGGCAGCACCCATGATCCCACCTCACTCGGATCCTGGACCTCACAGTGCCCCACACTAGTGGTGGGAACACGCTCACCTGTTCACTTCCGAGGCCAGTGATCACCAACAGAGGCAGGGGTGGAAAGCACTCATCAGACTGAAAAGTCCAGCCCCATGAGGGTGACCAGTGTTTGCACCGGTGAGACTCACACTCTCACACCACATCCAGTATATTTGATTGACAAACATCCGTAAAACCACACATTTGTTTCCACAAATAATAACACTCAACCAGTAACGAACATCATTAACACTTGCTATGGATCCTTGGAAGGAACCCTGCTATTCAACAGCAGGCCTGACGGAAGCCTCCTCACCTGGGCGGGCTGTAAACCTCTGCTTTTCCATCATAACGCATCATGCATGGCTATGCGTTATGATGCGGTTCCTCTTGGCATTTTCCCGACAATCTACAAAACGCAAACTCTGCCCACCACGCCGTCTGGTGCTGCCCTTGCAGCCAATCTCAGCCAATGTCCTGCCTACGGACCTCTCACCCAGCGGCCTCAATCCCTTACCTCAGAACAGAGCAGCTCCAAGAGGCTGGGAAAGATCAGGCTTGATGTGGGTATCGGACAGATGGCCACTCTCCCAGTTTAGAGAAGATGAGATACTAACGGAGGAAAATGAGAGTGGTGCTTCGCTCTCCACTGAGGGAGGCTGCCCACCCCATTGGCCTCGGGCAGGAGCCACGTGACATGGGCCAGGCACATGTGACCCACTTTTTGCCCAGCTCCCCTCATGCCCTTGGAGGGTGCACCCAGCACTCATGCGCTGTCAGTTCAACAGCCCCTTCCCCCAATGGGGCGACTCAACAGCCCCTTCCCCCAACAGGGCGACTCAACAGTCGGGTGAGCCTGAAGGACATGTGGCTGCAGCAGCTAAGCCCCTGGAACAGGAAGGGGGGTGGGGGCAGAAACCCCAGGGCCCAGCATTAAGCCCAGTGCAGCTCCTAAGACATGGGCTTTCACTGCTACTGCTGCCGCCTGCCTGCTGTGGGCAGCGTGGGCACAAAGCAGGCCCCTACTCAGACAGCGGTGCTGCTCTGGGCTTGGCTGGCGACGCTTTTGCTGGTCCTCGTGAACTGCAGGATGAGGCTGTTCCTCACCAGGAGGAGGTACCTGAAACAGCATCAGCTGGAAATTCCCTCCTTTCCTCGTTTTCTTCTTTGTTGTGACTGAGGTGTTCTCGGTCTGCACCCCAAGCAAGCCCCATGCAAAGCTGAGGAGGACGCACCGCAGCCTCAAATGTGGTCCTGACGCCAGCTGTGCCTGGGCAGGTAGGGTGGAAAGGCCTGGCCCAGGACCCACAGCTTGGGCACTCGGGGCTGAGAGGGGGCGTGCAGAATGCACACTGCTCCACCCATCAAACCACGCACTTCTGCCATGGAGCAGGAGAAAGTCGCCCTCACTTCTGCCGTGGGCTTCTTGCCTTGATCCCACCATGTCCTCAAAAACGCAGAGGCAGTAATGAGAAAAGCACACATGATGGGCAGAGGTGAAACGTGAAGGCAGAGAGGCCGCTGGCTGTGAGAGGGCCCGGGTTCATCAGGGACAGGCCAAGCCGGCTCCTGCTGGGGCCCAGGCAATGAGCATGCAGCTTTCTGATGCCAGCCATGGCACAGAGACAGAGAATGTGGAGTCCTGCAGGTCTTACTCATTGACAAAGTCAGCCTGATTGCTTATTAAAGAAAGAAACTAAAATAACACGAGTATCGGAGGTTCACTACAGAAAAAAATAGATTATGTGCACATGCAAAAGAAAAACCAGTCACTGATAATTATCCAGAAAGATCACTGTTGATATGTGCATCTTGAGATCTACCTAATTCAAACTTTGGACTAGTAGGTGTGTGTTATTATGTCTTTTTAGCAACAATAGTAACCAACCACGTTTGTCTTGTGTTTATCACTTACTATTACATATGAAATCTTTTTCTATGTTAATATATTTAAGTCTATATAAAAGGGAACAGATTCCCCAGGGTATTCCATTCTGTGTATTTTTATGCATCAGAACACAACTGATCTGCAATGACTGACGATTCCAGGTATTTTGAATTGTTACATTAAATAATAATCTAGTGATTTTTGCTATGATTTAAATGTACACGTCCCCTCACCATTCCTATGCTGAAACTTAAGACCCAGTGCGATGGTATCAGGAGGTGATTTGGCCACGGGGACCCTGCTCTCAGAAATAGATCAGTGCCTCATAAAAAGGCTTGAGAAAACTAGCAAGGTTCTTTTTGCCCTTCTGTCCCATCCAGCATGGGGACACAGCGTTCGTGGCCCCCAGAAGCAGCGTTCAAGGTGCTGTCTCAGAAACAGAGAGGCTGACCCTTCCCAGGATGAAACCTGCTGGAGCCTGGATCGTGGATTGCCAGCCTCCGTAACTGTGAGCCATATAAGGATTCCACTTATAAATTGCCCAGTGTTGGGTATCTTGTTCTAGCAGCAGGAACGGACTAAAACCATGACCTGTGGGTAGACCCCGTTCTGTCTATCTCTTATTTCCTTGGAGTCTGTACTTATAATAATTTCAGGGCTAAAGGAGGCACACACTGAAGCGTCAGCACAGCGTGAGAAGCAGGCCCCGCTGGCGCCATCCAGTCCATTCCTCTCGGGGCAGGCTCTGCCCTCAGCGCCTATCTGCAAGCACTGAGCTTATGAACACTGAGGGGTCGGGGAAGAAGAGGAGGAGGATACAGTGGCCCACATTAAGACAACCCCTTGCTCTGTGTCTGGTACTGAGGAAGGGAATTGAATAATAGCAACAATAGTAAAAACAAAACCTGATCATGTATAGTTGCTGTATAATAAATTTTGCTGTGTGTGCTGTTTAATATAAAACCCAATCCCCAGCTCTGCTGAAAAGTAACTAACTCCCTGTTAAACTCACCTTCTCTGTTCTCCCCACATTCTCAGCAAGTTCCCAGGCATCTCAAGACTCCTGTTTCTCTTGCTGACCAGCTGCAAGGTCACAGGGCAAGAATGTACAATGCATTTCTCAAAATGCTACTTTTCAAATGTAACATATATCACAAGACATGTTGCAAATTAATTAACTGTTCTGTTTTGGCTTCTGTAAACCTGTTAGCTGCTACCTCATCCTAGATGTATAAAAAGTTCCCCATTTTCTTTCTCCTTGGCTCAGCCTTGGGATGCTAATCTGCTGAGATGGTGGCCACCTTCATAAAATCCTGTTTCACCATTGGTCTCTCCAGTCTCCTGAATATTCTGCAACAGCACACCTGACTAATTTAATCTCAAGCAGCTCTGGGTGTGGGCTGTTACAGCTGCTGTTATGGATGGGGAGAACAATGGCAGAATCATTCAGGGCATGCTCTGGCCCCAAAGCTTGGGTGGCAGGGCCAGCACCCAGGCAAGCAAGGGCCCATGCTGTTGCCGAGTGGCCAGGGGAGGGCAGGATGCTGAACGCTGGGTCTGGCATAGGCAGGCCTGTGGCAGCTGCAAACAGCCTGCTGGAAGGCAAGCAGAACAGGTGGGCAGGGCCTGGCTGCCAGTGGGGAGGAAGGTGGGTGGCTGCAAGCAGACACAAGGCCTGTGCAGGTGCTGTGGGTGAGTGGTCTTCCCACCTGCCATGTGCGGTGGGGAGAAGGAAGCTGACCGGGCAGCAGCTGAGAAGGGTCCTGGCAGAGGTGAGAAGGCACAGAGGTGGCTGCACACCAAGCCCCAGTGCTGGTAAAGGGAGGAGCTGAGGGTGTGGCTCGAAGGAGCAGCCCAGAGGCAGGAGGGGAACTGGAGGCCGGGGGCCTCCACAGGGCCCAGGATGGGCAGAAGGAGCCGGTGCCAACTCGATGCCACTGAGAGTCCAGTGAGAGAGAGGGAAGGTGCAGGGTGGCTGCGCTCTGAGGGGTCACTGCCAGCAGCCTTGGGGTGGAGGCCAAACACAGTCACCTGCGCCTAGGGTGAGCGCTGTACCTCCACGGGGTGGCTGCCAGGGGCTACCATTAGCCACAGCTGTTTCCTCTACCCATCCTGCTCTCAGGGGCTGCTCAGGGGAGGGGTCGCTGCCAGCCAGAGGGGCACAGCTGTATGTGTGTGAACCGCCTGCGTAAGGAAGGGCTGCCCGTCTCCCCGCTGTCTCCATCGCGCCTGTTTCACTCTGTGCCCTCACACAGCATCACATGGCCTTTGGTGTTAGCTGCGGGAGGCTGTTCCAGGCTGGCTTCGGTGTCCCTCCGGTGTTGGGTTTTCTGCCTTGGGAGTGCCACGTGCTCAGGCTCATCTGTGCTTCCCCGCCTAGAATTTGCCATTTCTCCACGGAACCCTGGTTCCTTCTGTTTTTGAGCCATTTGGGTAGAAAGGGGATAAAAGGCCATGTGAATTATTGCCCCAACCTCATGCTCAACGTAGATAACACGGTGGTGTGGAAATGTCAAGGGAGTCAGCTGCATAGTCCTAACTGCTCTCAGCCAGGTCACTCCTGCAACAGGCAACTTTCGACGTCATAAATGAGGGACCTAATGGTGTTGCTGTGAAAATGCCAAATTGAGTACAGGTATGTGAATACAGCTGCTTCATTCCTTTCTCTAAAACCGCCAGGACACAGAAGGGCACTCACATACCCTGGGAGTTGGAATCGCAGGAAGGAGAAGCTGCCCAGGACCCAGCCCGGCCGTTGGCTGGAGGGGTGCCCAGCCTTGGCTCTGGTCTTCCTGAAGCTGCACACTAGAGCCTTCAGGCACCCACCAGCAGCCCAGAAGGGCAGACCTAATCCACAATGGTGAGAACCTTCCAATCCAGGTGCCAAGGACACTGCAGTGCTTGACTTCTGGGTGCATCTGTTAGGGGATGGGGGCACAGGGCATCCCTGGGCTGGCTGGTCCCTGAGGCCCCGTCCTGTGCACAGCTGCTGTGGTTTGCAAATCGACCCTCTGTGCTCCCCAGGAACAGCCTCCCTTTCCATGTGCAGGTGGTAAAGGAAGGGGCCGCCTGCCCTGCTTCCTCAGCTGAAGAGTCTCTGTGATCCAGGAGTGGAGACCAGGCCTGGCAGGCGCAGTGCCCTTACCTGGAGTCCATGTCTGTGCTGCTCATGGTGCATGATTCCCCAAAGGCCCATTTGGTGCTGGAGCAGGCCCTGGAGAGGGAAGTGCCCAGCCGAGTACGGAGTCTGCCCCAGGGCGGTTTCTCCAACAGGAGAGATGTTGCGTGTTAGGACTGGCCTTCCCTGGGCAGAGGCAGGAGCCAGGGTGAGGCTGGCAGCCAGTGGGAGGCCAGCTGTCCAGGGTCCCAAGGGCCACTGTGGAGTTTCCTGGGCAACCTGGGAGTTTTCCTCCCCGGGGGCTGTGAAGCAGTAAATAGGGGGGAGTATGAAATGTGTTCATCCCCGCTTCTAGCCATGCAGGGGGACCCCTTATGATGCAGTTCCCTTTCGGAGAACCACTTCTGCTGCTGGCCCTTCTCGGCCCAGCTGCTACTGGCCAGGCGCCTGCTGATCCTGCAGCACAGTGCCAGGCTTTCACAGAGCTCAGGTCCCAAGGACAGCAGCACCAACAAGCAGCGGACGAGCAACAGGACTTGGTGGCAGTGGACGCGGCTGGCGTCTGTGTTCATCTGTTCTCGTGCTGCTAACAGAGACATACCGGAGACTGTGTAATTTACAGAGGAAAGAGGTTTCATGGATTCACAGTTCTACATGGCTGGGGAGGCCTCACAATCATGGTGAAGATGCAGAAAGAGTAAAGGAACATCTTACATGGCGGCAGGCAAGGAGAGCATGTGCAGGGGAACTCTGGTTTAGAAAACCATCAGATCGCGTGAGAGTTACTATCATGAGAACAGCCCCTGCGATTCAGTTACATTCTCCCACTTGGTCCCTCCCATGACCTGTAGAAATTGTAGGAGTTACAATTCAAGATGAGATTTGGGTGGGGACACAGCCAAACCATATCAGCATCCATCAGGAAGACCTCACTGAAGGAGGACTTGAAAACTGTGGAAGGAAAATAAAATCTCAGGACCCCAAACCCACTATGATGAAGAGTTCAGCTTGGGAACAAAGTCACGCAATGGTGGCCTTCCTTTTGGTCCTAAGCAGATGGCTGCAGACAGAAGGCCATGTCTCCCCAGGGGGGTCTCCCTCACCAGCTGCCCACAAGGAAATGCCCTCTGGGCCCCAAAGTCTGTGCCCTAAGGCAGTGTCCTGCTGAATCTCACCCTGCCAGTGTAAATAAACGGCTTATCTTCACAGGTACAGGACTAAGACAAGACCAAAAGCCGTCCCTCCTCCACCCAGCCTGAGGCACACTCATGTCTTCCTCTGCTCAAAAGTCCTCAAAACTCTCTTTGGAGAAAGCCCAGGCCACAGGTCCTACAATAACTTCTGTATCTTTTTCCCTGGTGAGTCCTCAACCTTAGCAAAATAAACCCCTGGATGGATTGAAATCTTCCATGGTCCCATTTTGGTTGGCAGATCCGAGACTGCAGGAAGGTGAGAGAGTTCCATGAGGTTCCCTGGGGAAGGGCCCGCAAGGCAGGACTGCAGGGTGAGGTTGAGGATTGGCAGTCAGCGGGAAGGGTGTGGGAATAGGGGAGGCCTGGCTTGGCTGTGGGGGAAGCCCACACCCCTGCCCTCAATCCCCTCCCTCTGCTCAACATAGAGATGTTGAGCAAACAACTGCTTCATTCATCCAACTTTCCTTGCAATTGTATCAACACAAGTTCATGGTAACAGCTCAAGCCACAGGGTATCACCAGGCCACCAAAACAGCACCCCCACTCTTGATGCTCACATCACCTATTGTTTCAGCACCTCAAGATGCTCTTCAGCCCCCAGTGCAGCCTTTGTATCCCTCATTCCTGAAACCTGTGCTTCCCTGGCATCTCAGGGTTGGCTCCAGGGTAGAGCCAGAAGGCCATGCGAGAACCACCTGGCCTGGAACTGGACCCCAAGGTGTTCAACCACAACCATCCTCTCCATCTGCAATAGGGCACATTCTGTGTAAATGACTCTGTGACTGGTTTTGCTACCAGTCACAGGGACTCCTGATTTCCCAGAGTCATATACAGAATGGGCCTCAGGGCACATTATGGACTGAAGCAGGGTGAAATACAGCACTGTGTCACTTCTAACAGCCTTCATTTGTCAAGGGTAAGTTGATTTTGTTATATACATTCTTGGTAAACAAACAAACATGCAAACAGAAGACATAACTCACCTTCCCCATAAGCCGTAACTCACCTTCCCCCATAAGCAGTAACTCACCTTCCCCATAAGCAGTAACTCACCTTCCCCCATAAGCGGTAACTCACCTTCCCCCATAAGCGGTAACTCACCTTCCCCCATAAGCAGGCTATAAGGTTTGGAGCAGATCCATAGACAGCAACAGTTCAGATGTATTGAACTCAGAGCATCATAACCAGAGCGGGTGATTTACAGAAGGGTTGACTTCTGTCGTGGAGCCCACCTACCTAAAACACAAAAACACAGGGCTGTGTGAGCATTGCTGGCACAGGGCCTGTCCGTCAGCATTGGGCTTCAATGGAACTGCCTCTTGCCTTTGACACAGCAGTAAGCACGTCTTCAGCATGTGTGAGTATGGAGACGAAGTGCCTGCAAGTGCTCACCCCGGGGCTATTCCCCCCATACCCCAGAGGAGGTGACTCAACACAAAGGCAGGCTTCCACTCCAAGTGAGACGTCTATATGAAATGTTTTGATAAAACTGTACTTAGTATAATTTGCTTACATGTACACTGATTTTTAAATTTTTATTTATTTTCTTTTCATGTTTTCACATGTACACTATTTTAAAACCATATTTATTATATATTAATTTAAACACATTGCTGGTTTTCTAATTTCACTGAGAGTGAATGAATTTCATCTAATTTCTTCAATTTCAGCATGCTTTTAGAGGAGAGACTCGGAAAAAGAAGGCACATCTGGGGCTGGACGTGGTGGCTAGAGGATCACTTAAGGCCAGTAGTTTGAGACCAGCCTGGCTAACATGGTGAAACCCCATCTCTACTAAAAAGACAAAAATTAGCCAGGTGTGGTGGTGGGCATCTGTAATTCCAGCTACTTGGGAGACTGAGGCAGGAGAATCACTTGAATCCAGGAGGTGGAGGTTGCAGTGAGCTGAGACTGTACCACTGCACTGCAGCCTGGGTGACAGAGTGAGTGAGACTCTGTCTTTTTTTTAAAAAAAAAAATCTTGGGAGAAAAAGGGAAGAAAGGATGGAAAGAGTGGAAATTCAGTTTCCTACGGAAATAAAAGCATAGCAAGGCATAAGAAGATACATATTTAATCCATCTCCAAATGCACCGTTTGGTAATTTTTCTCTAAAAAAAAACTACGTTTTTTGCTGACCCACAAAAAATGATGCTATTGGACAAAGAAACCTGGTAACCCACTGCATGTCACTCGGCATGTCCATTCCCAGCTAGAAACACCTGTCATTGTGAGTGCAGGAAAATCCAAGTGCTTTTACAATAAAAATAGAAAACAAAGGCACACAAAATCCCTTTGGGTAAATGATTTTTCTCCAAGTAGCAGACCCTCCTGAGGTCCATCATGGTTCTGGGAGAAGCAAACAGGATGTGGGCACTAAAACTTCTTCAGCTGATGGAACTGAGAACTCCCACACAGCACTGCAGCACAGAGTAAAATGAGTAAAAGCTGTGCAGATGTGAGAAACACCGGAAGTGAAACACTAAAAATACCAACACAAATGCACAGTTAAAACAAGAAACTGTGAAATGATAATTAATTTAACCTATGAAAAAAATTAATGAGAACAACAACACAATTGGCCTAGAAATGAGACTAAGTTACAAGGTACCAAAAGAGAATTCAGCAGAAAGCAAGGCGGGAGAATAGGGCCTGGAGGCAGGGAACGTAAGGCCAAGCCAGGCTGACTTCCTATAACTCAGTCGAGTGAAAGTTCCTCGGCAACCACAGGGATGTGAATGGCTCTGCAGCTTCACCCCTCCTCTCCCCGAGGCTATTTACACTCTGTGACAACGCGTCAGGTGCAGTCTCTCCATTTACAGAGACCACGTACTCCAAATATCGTCCTCTCCATCTGCAATAGGGCAGATTCTGAGTAAATGACTCTGTGACTTCACTTCATTCTCTTCATTTTCATAGAATATTCGCCAGGTACCCAATGGGAAACTTCTGGAGTACTGAAACCCCAGAAGGTTCTGTGAGTGCGGCTCTCCCACACTTGCGTGGATTCCGTTCTCAGTAAATGCCTGCTTTTGCCTTCCTTGCTTTGTTTGTGCGTTTTGTCCAATCCTTTGTTTGAGATGCCAAGAACCTGGACACACTCTACCAGTAACAACTGCATAAGGGGCACTGCAGGAGGACTGAGCGCGTCCAAGAGAACATGAGGCTGACGAGAGGTTAGAGACGTGCAGAGAAGCTGCCAGATGCAGAGCCCAGGCCACAAGGATCCAAGAAACAGACTGGAATTCCCAAGAAAGAAAAGCAAAACCACAAAACAAGTAATACTTAAAATCCTAGAAATGTTCTTAGGAAGAAAGTAATCTACAAGTTGAAAGGCTCATCATGTACTTGAATAAACTGACCCAGAACGGTTGCCCTGAAGGCAGAGCCCAGTAAATGATGAAAATGGAAGAGAAAACTCTTTGGGACTCCAGGCAAAAAGGCCAGCTCGTTCACAAAGGAAAGAAAATCAGATGGGGATCGGACTTCCTGACTATCATGTACAAGATAAGTGAACAGTGGAGTAATATTTTCATAAATTCAAGTAAAAATAAAGTGTGACCAAAGGACTTTGTGTCAGCCAAACTGTCTTTCAAAACTAAAGCTAAATAGAAACAGTTTTAAATATCCAAGAACTCAAGGAACATTTTGTTTCCAGGCCCTTCATGAGAAACCTACTACAAAAGAATCTCCCTCAAGTCAAGAGATCACTGGAAATTTGACATAAACAAAAATAACAAATCTGTTGATCAAAGACTAAAACAGAGTGAGGACAAGGATGAGGTGGGGATGGAGGTGAGGATGCAGGTGGGGATGTAGGTGGGGATGAGGACGGAGGTGGGGATGGAGGTAGGGATGTAGGTGGGGATGAGGATGGAGGTGAGGATGGAGGTGGGGATGGAGGTGGGGATGGAGATGGGAATGGAGGTGGGGATGAGGATGGAGGTGGGGATGTAGGTGGGGATGAGGATGGAGTTGGGGATGGAGGTGAGGATGGAGGTGGGGATGGAGGTGGGGATGGGGATGGAGGTGGGAATGGGGATGGAGGTGAGGATGGAGGTGAGGATGAAGGTGGGATGGAGGTGGGGAAGGAGGTAAGGATAGAAGTGGGGATTGAGGGGAGATGGAGGTGGGGATGGGGATAGAGGTGGGGATGGGGATGGAGGTGGGGATGGAGGTGGGGATTGAGGGGAGGTGGAGGGGGATGGGGATGGAAGTGAGGCTGGAGGTGGGGATGGAGTTGAGGATGTAGGTGGGGATGGAGGTAGGGATGAGGATGGAAGTGGGGATGTAGGTGAGGATGGAGATGAGGATGGATGTAAGAATGAGAATGGAGGTGAGGTAAGAAACAGCTTCTTACTGGGGAGCATGCTGTGCTGCAAAAGTAAAAATACAGTAAATAAATCAGAGGTAAATGAATCCAAAAAAAAAAAAAAAGCAATGAAGAATAAGCTCACAGACTGAAGCATGAGAAATAGGTGGGGGAAAAGAATCCCACTGGACAAGCCAGTTAACAAGGTCAGAGGAAGAAACAGGACTAGGCCAGACTCGGTGGCTCACGCACGTAATCCCAGCACTTTGGGAGGCCGAGGTGGGTGGATCACAAGGTCAAGAGATCGAGACCATCCTGGCCAACATGGTGAAACCCCGTCTCTACTAAAAATACAAAAATAGCTGGATGTGATGGTACATGCCTGTAGTCCCAGCTACTCAGGAGGCTGAGGCAGAAGAATTGCTTAAACCCAGGAGGCAGAGGCTGTACTGTGCTGAGATTTCACCATTACACTCCAGCCTGGTGACAAAGCGACACTTCATCTCAAAAAAACAAAACAAAACAAAACAACAAAAACCAAACAAAAAAAGAAACAGAGGCCTAAGGTGCTATGAGGAGTGTTATTATAACAGCGGCTAACAGGACAAAACACAGACCTTCCTAAATGCCAAAAACAGTAGGAAAAGGTAAGCGAAGACACAAACTACATTTAAAAAACAGATGCACAATAAATAAAACACAACACACACATTAAATACAGGAACAAGTTAGTTACGTGGCCGTGGAGCAACACGTGAGTAATGTAAATGGTTTCGGCCCCATGAAATCTTCCACTCGGCTCACAAAGCCAGCTCTGCTTTACACAGAGGCACAACTGCCAAGTGATTTGAAAAGGCTAAATGTCAAGAAACGAGCTGAAGCACGTCAGGCAAATGCACCAGGCTGAAGAGCACGGGTTGAAATCTGCCTGTCAGACAAGGCCCAGCCTCACCTCAAAGCAGGAATCAAGACCAAGAAGGGCACTTCCTGATGCTGGAGGACCCAGTGCACAATGAGGCCACCTGAGTTAAGAACCTACTAGAACCCCCAAACACAGAAGCTGGCTTTCTAATGCAGAAACTATAGGCGTTGGGGAAAGAAACAGAAACATAAGAACAGCAATCATTAACTCTGACTGTCAGTCATGGCAAGGTAAGAGGTCAGAATAACTGAACATGAAAGAGAGCTGGTAACAGGACAAGGTCTTAGGGACATTATATCAAACTTTGTACTCTAATAATAGAGATTATACTTTCTTCTTAAACATACTTGAAACTTCCATTAAAAAAATCTAGCTTGTATTAGGGCACAAATACAACCTCAGAAAGTTACATGAAATACAAGTGGCACATACAGCAGACAGAGACAGCAGTCTCTGCTGATAATGCAAGACCAGAAAATAATGAACTTCAGCCAAAGGATATTTCATTGGAAAATTTATATCACTGTAGAAACACTGAAGGGGAACTGGTTCATAACATGTATCTATCCATACAGACATCCCCTTGGTAAGTCCCTAAATCGGTAAGGAACACCATGAGACCAGACTGGAGAGAGTGGCGTGACAGACCGACACACTCCTGCAGTGACCCGCTTTTTCCAACCTCACGCACATGCCCGGGGGAGCCTGAGAGCAGGTCCCTGACAGAGCCGGACACGAATGAGACAGGATCGCCATGAGGAAATGCTCTGTAGCTCCCCTTTCAGCAGGAAACACAGCTGTTCAGGAAGGCAAGGAGATGGAGGAGATAAAGGAGGGTGCGACCCCTTCCTCACCTCTGGCCTGCCCTGGCTGTGGACCCCGTGGGTAACAGCAGAGCAAGGGCTTTCACATCTTGCTGAACGTGCTGAACTGGCCGTCACAACAGATCAGCTTCAAAGGCAAGGACTCCAAGGGTGTCGCATTCCCTCCTGGGCACGGTCTAG